CCCTCGGTCAGCACCTTGGAGTTCCACATTCTATAATACTTTGGGGCATGAAGAGAATGTAGCCAAGTTACTTGCAAATGCATAGCAAGGGTGATCTTTGCCCCAGTTTCCAATAAGCTTCTTATTTCTATCTGAGATTCTTTAGGATGGTCCTTACAGTCCATATTTCTATCAGCACTCTAATCACCATTATGTAACTAGTCTCTTAAGACATTCCAAACTTTCCCTTGTCTTTTATCTTCTTCTGAGTCCTCCAAACTCCTCCAATCATTGCCTAACACCCAGTTCCAAAGCTCACTTCCACATTTTCAAGTATTTGTTATAAGCAACACCTCCCTCCAGTCTTGGTACCAATTTTCTGTATTAATCTGTTTCTGTTGTTTATAACAAAATACCTGGAACTGGGTAATTTGTAAGAAAACAAAATTTATTGCTTACAGTTTTGGATCACTTCAGGCCAGCCCGTGGCTCACTCGGTAGAGTGCGGTGCTGATAACACCAAGGCCACAGGTTTGGATCCTATATAAGGATGGCCGGTTTGCTCACTGGTTGAGCGTGGTGCTGACAACACCAAGCCAAGGGTTGAGAAGACAGTTTTGGATCACTTCTTCAATGCCCTACCTTTCAATCACCATAGTAGGATTTCCCACCCTCAACAGTTAAACAGGGGGAATTAAGCTTCTAATATATGAACTTTGGGGGACACAATTCAATCAATCCACAGCAACTGTCTACCCCATCAGTTCCAGGCTAGCTGCCTTTAGCTCACACTTTTTCTAACAACTGTGTTCCAAGGACATTCTCAGCAAAAACCACAACCACACTCAGTTTCTGGGGCTGAGGGTCTGGTGTCTGTCATGTAAGTTTCCTAAGCATCAATTTCCTTTTCTGTAAAATGCATACTGAAGATTACCTGAGATAACCCTGTTACTATTTTTCCAGGTGTTTTCATACATTATCTCATTTAACCCATAAAACAATGCTAGGAGGTAGAGTTTTCATTCAATTCAGTCAATATTTATTGAGTGCCTGCTAGATACCAGGCACTGCTTTTTTTTTTAAAGATGACTGGTAAGGTGATCTTAACCCTTGACTTGGTGTTGTCAGCACTACGCTCTCCCAAGTGAGCTAACCGGCCATCCCTATGTGGGATCCAAACCCATGGCCTTGGTGTTATCAACACCACACTCTCCCAAGTGAGCCACGGGCTGGCCTTCAAGCACTGTTTTAAACACAGTTATTCCTTGTGAAGCTTACATGATGGGAAGAGCCTACGAAAACAGAAACCACTTAAGATAATTTCAAATTGTGATAAGTGCTATAACAAAAATAAAACAAAATGAAGACCTAAGGGAGGGCATGTAGGTTACTACCTGGATACAATTTATACAATTCATAAAGTTTAAAAGTATCCAAGTATACTTGTTACTTTTTTATGGCAGCTTTTTTTCTCCTGGTAAGCACAGATTCTTGTGGACTGCTCTCCATGGGCATTAGAGAATGGGGCAGTCTATCCTCTTTGGACAAAGGACCTCAGATAGTATCTAGGTCTGATATCCTTCAATTGTTAGTGGAAAGTTTAATTCAACTTCAAGGCATTCTGTAAAAGGTGTGGATTTTGGATCTCAGACATCAATCCCCGGAGTTGGCAGTCTCTACTTGCATTACTACATTTGAGAGTGTGAATCCAGCATGTGAAACCCAGAAAGATGCCATCCCTAAGTAAATAATCAACTGAACATGTTCGAAGGATGTGAAACAAAGATGAATGTAGTCAATTTAGAAACATGAGCCTGGGGGCCGGCCCGGTGGCGCACTGCTACAGTGCACTGCTTGGGAGTGTGGCGCTGCTCCCGCCGAGGGTTTGGATCCCACATACAGACCGGCCGCTCACTGGCTGAGCGAGGTGCAGGCGCAACACCAAGGGTTGTGATCCCATTGCCGGTCCTGGTCCGGTACGGGCGCGACACTGAGGGTTGCGACCCGTTGCCGGTCACGAAAAAAGACAAAAAAAGGAAAAAAAAAAAAAGAAACATGAGCCTGTCGGAGAAGAGAACAGTAGCTACAGCTGTGCAGAACAAAACTGCCCAGATGGAGGGTTTTATATCCTGCTCCTCAGCAGAACACAATATTCTCCTTACGAAGGCAATGCATTTTCCCTGATAATTGCTGCTTTTTCAAAAATACCTACTATATGCCAGTTTCTTAACATATTAATAAGCCTCACGAGAAGTCTATAAAGTAGGAAGAAACAATTTCAGTGAGTTCATATAACCTGATCAGGAGCCGCAGTTAGCATTGGTAGAGTTGGAGATTGGAACTCAGGTTGTCACTGAGCCCCAACCCTGTGTTCTTTACACCCACCATCCAAGCAACCTCAGGTGCTCCCTACTTGCAGAGCCCAGGTTAGGAGAGGTCCAAGGGGGAAGCCCCCTCAAACCAGTATCCCTCACTTAACACACTGTCCAGCCTGCAGAATCTCACTTGACCATTGTGTGAAAAGGCTCATCTCTGCTATTGAGGACAATATGGTTGATTTTTTTTTTTTTTTTAACTTCTCTTTCAGTGTTTTAAATCACACTACTACCAGACAGCCTGGGATTGCTTTTTTCCCCAAATTAAAATACCATTCAGTTATTTTTATTCTTATAGTAGACCACACTTGTTGCAAAAACTTTTAAAAAGTGTACAAAGCAGAAGATGAGAGCTTCCTTTTCTCCCCTAGCCCATCTTTCTCCTCTAGGATAGCCTTAAACATGCCTTCTGGGCAGAATAAGATGGGCCTTTTAATTACTCTCACAGGGGGCTCGATAGTGCTGTGCAAGAGAGCTAGGGAGCCTCTCTCAGGTTTTCAGATGGCTCTGGGTTAGCCTTACGTTTAATAATTAGTTCAGTTTTCAACCAACTTTCATTGAATGTCACCTGCGTGCTAAGTGTTGCTGATCCAAGATGGACCTTAGGGAACTTATTCCTGTGTTGAACACCCTTGTGTACACCACGATTACAATGGTAATTCCTCAGTGAACACATACAGAGTACCATTTTTAGAACTAGTTAAAAAAAATTTTTTAAATTGGTGAATAACACATACATTAATTCACTGTTCATCAGAGAAGTCATATACAGTATTTGAATATAAGAGTACTTTGCAGGTAACTCTGACTCAGGCTGACACAGATGGGAGGGGAGGCGTACCCTGTCCAGGAGCCCTCTGCATTATGCATGGTTTCTTTTCATTTTGGTTGTGGATATCTCCCTGGGTAACATTTTCAAAATGTTCCATGTGTCCCGAGTATGTGCCAGGTCTGTTAGTCAGCAATTCTGTTTCAAGAATCAGCCTGTCTTCCATTACACCAGTGCTACATTTTCAAAATGGAAGGAATTTAAAATGTAAAAACACTTGCTGTGCGGAGGAGGGAGACACTGGGGCTGGGACTGGAATCCAAGTCTCCTCACACCCAATTCAGTGCCTTTCCATTACACCCCTTGATTGAGTCTTAGGGCACCATGTGGGTGGTCATTAATCTTGTATGTACTTATCCAACATTTATTATATGGTTTGGATTATGCTAGGTGGCAGAGATTCAAAGTTGGACAGGTCAGTCCCACCACTTGATAAATAAACAGCCAGGTGGCAAGACAGATAAATAGACAATTTATTTACACCCCAAAAAGAGTCTGTTGCTTAAGGAACTCAGGGAGGAGCATGAAAAGGAGGAGAGGGGACATGGTAGAAAGGGCTTCTCAGCAGTGAGTGAATGAATGCTCATTTGAAGAAACAATTTATATTAACATTGTTTGTTCCATAGCTGGGACTTGGAAGAGTAGTCTGGACTTTCCTGCTTTGGGGGAGGGTTTAGGCCAGGGGCATTGACAATTTGCTTCTGGAGATCTGATTAGGGTCTAATCTGATCTGATTAATCAAACAAGATGTAATCAATGCTGGTATTTTAAGTCGGTTTTCAGATGTTTAGTTGCTCGTTTTTAATAGTAATAGTAAAATGTAGTGCTTCTAGGATGAGGTGACCTCAAGGACATGTCTTGAGCTGTTCTGATTCAGGCCCTATGGCTGATGGGCAGGTCCCAAGAGGAAACAGCCATTCATTCATTCATTCAAGAAGTATTTACAGGGCCGGCCCGTGGCTCACTCGAGAGTGTGGTGCTGATAACACCAAGGCCCCGGGTTCGGATCCCACATAGGGATGGCCGGTTTGCTCACTGGCTGAGCGTGGTGCTGACAACACCAAGTCAAGGGTTAAGATCCCCTTACCGGTCATCTTTTAAGAAAAAAAAAAAAAAAGTATTTACAAATGTGGTGTCTATGCGCCAGACACTGTTCGGGGTGAAAATGAGACACGCAGGCTAAGATTGCTTCACGGAGCTAAGCTGTTTGACTTTTGCAGGTCCCTCTCTCTGGGCCTCAGTTCCTCCACCTGTTCAGAGGTGGGCGCTCACTGTGGACCTAGACTTCCGAGACTCAAATCCGTTTTCACTTCTTCCCTGTTACCGGCAAGTTAACTCGGTCTCCATGAGCCTCAGTTTCCTCATCTGTAGCATGGGGGTAATATAATTCGTTTCATCGGGTTGTGTGGACGCTGAAAGGCACAGTCCGGCTACTGGAGAAGCCAGAGCGCGCTCGTCGCAGGGTGGCCGCCGGAGTCGGTACCTGCTGCTTCCCCGCGCGGGGCACCGCCCGCAGGTGTTCGGGGGGCCCGGAGGGGGGTCGGGGGCGGGACTCCTAAGCGCAGGCTCTGGCGCCGCGGCGTCGCTCTGTCCCGGGCCGGACACCGTGGGGGGTCTTCCAGGCTTGGGCTCCGCGGCGGCGGCCGGCGCGCGCGATCCCACCGGTCCCCGGCCTGGGGGAGGGCCCTGCGGCCGGCCGGCCCCGCACCCCGCACCCGCCAGCCGAGGCCCGGAAGGGGCCCGTCGCGCTTCCGTCTCCGCCGGGGCTGCACGGAGGGCGGAGCTGCGGCCCGTGGACGCGACGCGAGCCCAGTTCCGGCGAGGAGGCCGCGCCAGTGACAGCGATGGCGGCGGAGTCGGCGCTCCAAGTTGTGGAGAAGCTGCAGGCGCGCCTGGCCGCGAACCCGGACCCCAAGAAGGTGGGCGGCGGGGCGGCGGCGGCGCGGGGCGGGCGTTGGCGGCCGCGGCCCTAACGGT